GAAGAAGCTCCTGGCTCCTGGCTTTAGATCAGCTCAGCTCTGGCCATTGTAGCCACTTGGGGAGTGTAAGATCTTTCTGTCTCTCCTTTTCTCTGTAAATCTGACTTTCCAACAAAAAATAACCAAATTTTTTAAAGAAAAAATAAATAAATAAATAAATCCGCAACCTCATTCTAACATTGAGGCCTGCAAACCAGAACAATGTTGCTGGGACAATCTGACTTCTGCTGGAATCCAGCCAATCTACTGCTAATATTCTTGGTTACCCAGAGCAGACTAATAAAACTTTCAGACAAAAGATCGAGACAATGATGAAGATGCCGTCATGACTGAAGGTACAGTGTGCCACAGTGGGTTACTGAAGCTGTTTTTAATACCAAAATCCACTGGAATTATTAATACAAATAAAATCAACTCAGTTCTAAGTATGGATCAGAACGGTTTTATTGCACATAATTTAGAAGGCTTAGCAAGTGGCACAAACACGAAATTTGAAACACATGTTTCAGATCAAAAACTCTTACTAGATAGAACAATTATGAAATTATAAAGCCACTGTTGGAAAGTTTTCTGAGAGCATGTCAGAAGACTTGCAAATTTGGCGAGTTTGAGAGCTCTTAAACTTTTGAGCCAATGACCTAGAACAGTCAGGAGAACAATAATATTCAAAACTTGAAATATTTTTAAAATAAATAAAGACCGGAAGTAGGTTAGTGCTCATCTGGGGCTGAAGGAGGGAAACTGGGCAATGACAGCATATGGGCTTGCCTATCCCTTGATCTTGGACCTGTGGTTCTAGTTATTGTTTTAAGCTCCGTAGTTTGTAATACCTCATTACTGCAGCCCTAGAAAGCTGATCTAATGATGTGAAAACCATGAGAGGAGTCACGTAAGCAATATAAGTAGTTTCTATTCCATTATTACCATGCTAACCACAATATATTAAAGCATTACCGGTACTTGCTTAAAACTCAAAGTAAATAAATAAAGAAAAACCTCATGCCATCTTTGCTGGTTCTTCCCCTCAAAATCCTAGCAGAGTAGCTACTCTTTGTACCTCCACTCTATCCCCTATATATTTTTCTGATGGCCCAAATTGCACAAACACAAGATTTTAGTAATTTCTACACACTTCTATGTATGTATATATGTTCTGTGTGCCTTTGTTAGTCCAAAGGTCCTTTATGACAGAGGCTGTCTTATCACATTTCCATTTCCAATGCCTACAGCAATGTATGACAAACAGGAATACTTAACAAAAGCTAGGCAATAAGGTTAATGTTGAACCACCTCTACTAGGCTACTGTTGTTACCTGATTTACCACCCACCACCTGCCCTGGACTCTGAGACCACCACGAATACTAAAAACTGCTAAAATGCTTTTGCTCCTATGAAATATGACCAAAATAGCTATTACACATATATCCTGCAAACAACATTAATTCTTCAGCAATAAAAACCATATACTAAAATGTTACTTCTAGAATATTATAGTATTCATAGAATTTACATAGTAAAATAATAAAAATTTCTTATGTGCTAATCAAAACAGCACTGTAATTTTATACTACCTAGAGATTCTCCATTTGCTCATTTCTTGTAGAAATGCTCCGAGTGTTTCTATTAGCCTCTCTTCCCGACCACAGATCTGGGCTGGAGACTCTGGTTGCATAAGAAACATTCTCCCTGACCCCGCTGGAGGTCAATCCCTGTTTTAATTATCTTAAAGTATTAGAGGTACTTCCTGGTTTAAAAACAGCATTTAAAAAAAACCCAGCATTTTGATTTATAAAGTGTACTTTGTTGTTGTATCTAGGAAACATTTAAACTTTCTTTTTTAAAATGTTTTGGAAAGGCAGAGTCATAGGAGAGACAGAAAGAAAACCTATCTATGAAAGTAATTGATAGTATAAAAAGTTGATTCTTATAAATGATATTACCTGAATACCAAGGGCATATAATTTTAAGTTCAGCTTTTATGCTAGGATATATTTATATAAAAATCGAACTTCTAATTAAATTGTTCTTTTACTCTAAATAAGCTTTTTAAAATAATGAGTAATATTTCCTTTTAAGGTAAATGGCCAAAAACATTTCTGAAATGTAGTGAAAAGTTATTTATTTTACTCTTATCACAAAAAAGGTAATTATGTGAGATGATGGATATACTAATAGTTAAGTACATTAATGTTATCAAAACATCACACACTGGGCCAGTGTGGTGGCTCAACAGGCTAATCCTTCACCTGCAAATGCCGACATCCCATATAGGTGCCCGTCAGTGACGTGGCTGTTCCATTTTCCCTTCCAGCTCCCTGCCTGTGGCTTGGGAAAGCAGCAAAGGATGGCCCAAAGCCTTGGGACCTGGCACCCACATAAGAGACCCAGAACAGACTCATAACTTCGGATCAGCTCAGCTATGGCTACTGCAGCCATCTGGAGTGAACCTGTGAATAGATCTATCTCTGTCTTACCTTCTCTTTATAAATCTCCCTTTAAATAAAAATATTTTTTAGAAAAAATCACATTGCATACCATATATAATATACATATTATATATGATATGTAATAAAAATTAAAAAGTAATAAATACCCATGTATAAAACAAAAACAAAAGCTTTTTTCTAAGGTTAAACACCAGAGCTATTCAAGTAACTGAGCTCATAGTTTCCAAGTTCAGTTAATAACAAAGTCGTTAATATTTTTTCATACAATAGAAGCTTAATCATTAAACCCATTATTGTAAGCATTTGAAAGTACATACTGCGAATCAGCAAAGGGAACATTAATTATATGTTCCACGCTAATTTAGAAAGTAATAGTAATATTTAAATCTGCACAAATTTCACCCCTCAATCTGCCAATTTATCTACCATAATTAATTCCATCGTCTCCTCTGAATGAAGAGAGTTCTGTATTCTGTCTTCTTTTCAACAAATTCTGGGATAGTGCTACCCTCAAAAATATTTTGCATAAAGAATATACAGGCTTCAGGGTCAAAAATACAAATCATTCACTCCTATACCCTATTCTACTTCACTGCAAATTGGTCAGAATTGGAGACAGTTTACACTGATTGTTAAAAAGTAATCTTTTAATCCAAAACAATCGATTGTCAAAATGGTAGAATCATTACATAAGTATCATTTATGCTTGTAAGGGGCCCAGGTCAAAACCTTTGCTAAAAGTACATTGGACAAAAGAAAATAATATTAAGACGATACTAATCCAAATAAACAACTGTTGGCCTTTTTAAAGAGGGGGAAGAATTCCGCCACCAATGCTTTAAACGCCAGGGTCTATACTATTCAAGTATCTTTCTTGTGGGTCTGGTGCCATGGCACAGTGAGCAAGTCCCCCATCTATGGTATGGACATCCTATGTGGGCACCAGTCCCAGTCCTGGCCGCTCTACTTTTGATCCAGCTCTCTGCAGGTATGCCTGGGAAAGCAGAAGATGGCTCAAGTGCTTGGGCTCCTGACTCCCAGTTCCAGATTGACTCAGTTCTGCCTGTTGCAGCCACTTCAGTAGGGAACAAGGAGATGGAAAACCTCTTTTTTTCTAATTGTGCCTTTCAAATAAATCTTTTAAAAGAGAGAGAACGTATTTTGTGTACAAATGTATATTACTTTTATAAGGGAACTTATTGTATACACTAATTTCCAACTTGATTTTCCTCCATGTTAATAATGGATCACAACCATCTCTTTTCCACTGGAACTAGACCATTATTTTAAATAGATGGCCAATTTAAGAGGTACAAAATTTGCATCCACTCCATCCCTCTGTTCAAACCTCTAGTATCCTTCCTAGAAACAAGTTTTTGTATATTCTTCCAGAGATGTTCTACAAATATACAAGTTTGCATGAACAGTCCTAAAAACGTAATATTCATAGCACAGTTTTATACTTTTATTGGACATTTAGAAAGTTAACAATTGCGAAAAAGGTTAGAATGAATTTCCTTGTATTTAAACCTGCTTATGTGAGTAACAGATGAAGAAACTGGAGCACATACTAAGCAGGATAACAACTGTATTTGGAAAAACTGCTCCTGGAATAGGAAGTGCTCACTACAAAACATGATCCTACTTAATTCTATTCTGTCACAAATTACAGTAAGCACCCCCTTTATAATAATTCAAAATATTCAAATAATCTGTTGTTTTCAAAAGAATAAATGTATCAAGTTAGTTGTGAAAAAGGAACTACTAAACACTAAGAGTCATAATCCCACAAGTGGATGGAACAGACAGGAACTGGCACCAGGGTATCCAACACAGGGCTTTCCCACTGTACCACATGATCTGTGCAGCACCAAAGGGTGTTACAGGCAATACGAATTTCTTTTAATTTCACCACTACTGCTTTTGTTTCCTCAAACCTACTCACATGACCTTGAACAGTGCTCACAGACTTCATTTTATAATACGTTTACCAGATTACATGACAGACTTACACCTTGAGAACTGCTGCCTCATGATAATCTCCTAGCCTGAAAAGAACAAAGACATATATGTCGCCACACGCATCTTTGGAATCTTACCCCACCATGTATCTATCACACAGGTGCTCAATAACTGTTGGTTTTATAACCCATCTTTTTCCCCTGCCAGCATTAGCTACTGAATTTAAACATTAAGACCAAACAAAACTGGTAAAAACTTATTTTACATTTGGGGTTTTTAAGAATTCGTACTATGTAAACTTGGGATTCACCAAAAAAAAAAAAAAAAAAAAGTTTTACAATGAAATATAACAACACTCACATTACTAAATCATTTAAACAAGTACACAAATTGTGCATTACATTATACAATGTGTGGCACATATACTGTACATATACAATATGTGGCTAAAAATGTGGTAAATTATACAATAATCTTTGTCAATTGAAATGGTCATACGCTTCAGTCAACATTACTTTGTTAATCTCGCTGGAATAATGGCATTTTTAGATAAAGTAGTAACATTTCAGTTGTGCTATCCAGGAACTGACCCTCAGACACAGGTCTAGGCTCTGCTAACAGTGACATGAATGTCTGCCAATCCTAGCTTTCCTCGTTGGGTCTTACTCCACCTATTTGCAAAAAAATAAGATGGTTAAAGTAATTACTGGGGTTTCTCCATCTTAAAGTGTTCTTAGACACAAAGTTTCTATAATTCAGACATTTCCACTGTATCAAATTTGATATTCTAAATGTGTTATAACTGGTTACATTATTCCACAATCAAGAAGCTTAGCACATTTCCTAAAAATTTATCAAGACTTGTAACATTGTTACCGTCTTCTAAGAGGGCACAGTAGTAAACCAAAAGCTAAACATGATTATCCAGTAACTAACAATGCTTTGTCAATGGAGCTGCCAGGAGCCACACTGAATTCTATGCTCGCAAACCTGATTTATAGATACATATATGAACACAAATATATGCACGCACCCGTGGCATATATTTGACATGCGTGAACTTTAAAACTTTTCAATGACAAAATCAGTATGAGCTTATGTTGCTAATCAAATACTACATCAGGCCATATGGGAAGTCCAAAATCTCCAAAGCTTTTCTGGCAGTAACCACTGGTACTATTTTTCTCTTGTGTATCCTTTCAGAAATTAGCTAATAAAAAGTACCTATGTATATATAGGCACATGTTTCTGAATCTTTTTAACCTAAACTGGTGCCACTTCTTGAACGATGCAAGCGTGTGGGTGGGAGGCGTGGGGAAAACCCCAAGCTTGAGTCGGGCAAGCCTGTGAGATACATGGAAAGTGGTAGCACACAGCCACCCGCGAAGCCACCTGCTCTTCAGAGATGTGCGCTCAAGTGCATTCATTTCATTTTCGCACTGGGAGGCTATGTGGGGAAACTTCACAGAGTGACAGGCAAGAAGCCAGAGAAGTGGGGTTCTAATGTAACTAGCCGGGGAGCCCTGGGCAAGCCTAACCTCTTCTTGAGGCTTGGTTTCTGCTTTGTGAAGTAACACGGCTGGCCTAAAACCCATTCCAACTTTAAATCTTTTCGCTCTAAGATGGCCGGCTGCAATAATGTTTTCTTGAGCTGCCAGCAACAAATGATACTACAGAAAAAAAAGGGGGGGGGGGTAAGGGGAGAGGAAACCCGACAGGGGCCTCCAGCTTTACAAGAGTACATCTGAGTCATTAACTAGCAAGGCACAGTTGTGACAGAACCGGGTGACAATTACATTTGAAGGTAAAGTAGCAGATAATTAAAAGCGGATAGGTTTTTACAGAGCTTAACTGATGTTTTCCCTTCTTTGAAGGTAGAAAGGGTTGTTGCTCAATTTCACAAGAACCCCACCCCCACCCCAATCCCCCGAAGAAAACAACCTAAGTGTATTATTAGACTGTTAAAATACCGAAACTGAAAGCCAAATGGACATTTTGTTTCTCGCAGAATAGTTGAGTAACACAGCAAAGGTTGGAAAGAATTAGCAGGTAATTTCCTGTTCCGGAAGCTCTTAGGCCCGTGCTAGATTCCACACGCCCTCTCCAGCCTCACCCCACCCTGCTCTATGCATGCATGCCCTGGGCATCAAAGGCGGGGGCGGGGGGTTCCCCTCGGATCACATAAAGAAAGAAAAAGTTATTTGACTCGATTTACCTTAATGTCAAACAAGAGACAGCTCCTCAGGCCTAAAGCCACCTACCCACCCACTGCTCGCTGAAGGTGTCAAGAGCTTGGGTCAGGAGTCCCCGGCGAGGCCACCCCCGCAAGCCGGGCGCGGCCTGGCCACCCTCCCAGGCAGTGCCAGGCCCGAGGGGAGGGGAAGAGGGAGCAGGGAGGGGAAGGCAAGGGGGGTGGGGAGGAGGAAAGGAAAGCTCACCGAGCTGTACCCACCGCGCCAGGAGAGCCCGCTCCGACCACCAGCGGCGAACGGCCCGCCGGTCCCGACGGGAGGGTCCCGGAGCTGGGGCGGCCCGAGCTCCAAGCTGGAAATGCCAACTCCGCTCTGCGGCCGGGCCCCTGCCTGGGACAAGGAAAAGGAAGTCTCTTGGTCTCCCTTACTCGCTTCCAGCAGCCGACCCCGTTCCCCGGAGCCGGGAAACCTGTCTGCGTCAGGTCGCAAGGAGACACTGAGCGCAGCTCGTCCAGGTCCCGGTCCAGGCCCAGCATTAGACCCCGGCAAACCTCCTTCCCGCCCCCGCCACCGGGAGGTCACTCTCCCGCCCTACAAAGCTCCTCCTTCTTTTCCCCCTCCGCCATTTTCCCAACTTACCCCTCGGCCGGGCTTCCCTTACTAGCGCCGCGCCCGCTCGGGGCGTCGCCAAGGTCCCGCCACTTCCCGAAGCCGGAAGGGGGCAGCCAGAAAACACGAAACCTCCCCACCCCCACCCCTACCCCCGCCCCCCCGCCCCGGCGAGCGCCCGGGACCGACGCCGGCGGGCGCGCGTGCGCAGTGCGCATGGCCTTGTCCCCGCCCCTAGCGAAAGCGTTTCTTCCTCCTCGAGCCTCCGGGATGTATTTTTCCCACGGTTTTTTTTTTTTTTTAACCTGCTGGGCTACGAGGGTGAAGGGTAGCGACACAGAGGTGAAAGGACTGAAAAAACAGGAGGCTGAATGGAGTAACGTGTTGCGTGTTTCCTGTAGTCCAGGCACTGTACTAGGCGCATGACGTGTTCTTTGTAAAGAGGAAAATGAGGCCCAAAGAAGAGGACTTAATATCCCAAGAGAACTTAGCTAATAAACATGGCTAATAAGCCGAGGCCGTGGGGAATAGAACTGTATCGGTTTTCAAGGAGGGAAAGGAATGGCACAAAAACGGGATGATTGAGACTGGAAGGATATACAGGAGACAAAGGCTGAGGAAAGAAAGGTATGTGTGTAAGATGCTGATACTCCCCGGCTTTACCGCCAGTTTCTGTAGAAGTGACAGAGCCACACAGGGATTTTTGTCGCAGGAGCTTGGGCTTCTCCAAGCTGGTGTCCTAAGACAATGCCTTCCAGACACTTCACTTTTTTTTTTTCTTTTTACATGTTTCTTTTTTATTGGAAAGTCAGATTTACAGAGAGAAGGAGAGAAAGATCTGTCTGCTGGTTCACTCCGTAAGTGTCCACAGTGGCCTGAGCTGAGCTGATCTGGAGCCAGGAGCCAGGAGCCTCTTCTGTGTCTCACGTGTCAGTACAGAGTCCCAAGGACTTGAGCCATCCTGGACTTTTCCCAGGCCACAAGCAGGGAGCTGGATGGAAAGTGGAGCAGCCTGGACTCAAACCGGGTCCCATATGGGATCCAGGTGCATGCAAGACGAGGACTTTAGCCATTAGGCTACTGTGCTGGGCCCTGGACACTTCTACTTCAAGGAAAAGATGTGTGTGACGTATAATGCTGCCTTCTATGAGGATGTAAATTGGAGAGGAAAATAGGAAGGAATTTTCTTTTGGGTAATTAGGTTATTCACTAACATGTTATCCATTGTAATTCTCTTCCTTTCCTTTCCCTCCCATTTAATCTTCTTCCCCACCCCCCCATTCCCCTTAAAGCTCTGGGAATTTCACACCTCATTTCTTGCAAGAATTGTTTTTGCAATATTTATCTCAAGGCTCCTCTCTTCATCCTCTTAGCTCTCTGCACTTGAACTGTTTCCATAAGCACTAATTTTTAAATGTAAATAACAAAAATTTCCCATTTTAACCATGTTTAAGTGTATAGTACAACAGCATTAAGTACATTCACATGGCACAAATTAAAGAGCTAAGTAAGGTGAAAACTCTAGGGATCTGAACCCAATAACACCTGGTAGATGTGACAGGCTGTGATTTACAATGCCGTGTCATCAACTGCATTCAGTTTGTGCGTTGCTAGCGTTCGGTTGGCTAGCCTAAGGGCAACCAGCCATCAGGTCACAGGGATGCTCAAACAGCAGCTGGAGACCCCTGTGTGGGGGGAGACTGGGTCCATGCCCTCTTTCCAACTCTGCTCTCACCAACAGCCAGCTTGAATTGACCAGCCATGTGAACCACCACAGAAGAGGATGTTTGGGCCCGGTGCGATAGCATAGCGGGTAAGGTCCTCGCGTTGAATGCACCAGGATCCCATATGGGCGCCGGTTCTAATCCTGGTAGCCCCGCTTCCCATCCAGCTCCCTGCCTGTAGCCTGGGAATGCAGTCGAAGATGGCTGAAAGCTTTGGGACCCTGCACCCATGTGGGAGACCTGGAAGAAGCTCCTGGTTCCTGGCTTCAGATTGGCTCAGCTCCAGCTGTTGCGGCTGCTTGGAGCGTGAACCATCAGATTGAAGATCTTCCTCTCAGTATGTCCACCTTTCCAATTAAAAAAAAAAAAAAGGCTGTTTAAGTTCAGGCTGCAGACAGTGGCGACCTTTTGAGACCCAGAGCTAGAAGACCCACTCAGATTGTTGTTTCTGTTGGCAAAGTTCTAGAACGATTTGTTTCACAGCAGTAGATAACTTCACAGGCCCTGCCAGGGTAGAGGCCTATCACACTTACATCCTTATCTCCTATGACTTTCCACCTTGTTCTTTTAGCTTTCCTGGCTTAGGGCCTTTGTACTTGTTCTTCACTCTGTGTACAACTTTTTCCCTAGATAGACTCATGGCTGTCCCCCAGCTCTTTAGCTGTCACCATCTCCAAAAGACCTAGACCTACACTGATGACCATGTTAAAGATGACAACTCCAGGGACCTGCGAAGTGGCTGTACAGGCTAATCCTCCACCTATGGCACTGACGTCCCATATAGGTACCAGTTCATATCCTGGCTAATCCACTTCTCATCCAGCTCCCTGTTTAAGGGTTAGGAAAGCAGTGGAGAATGGTCCAGAGCCTTGGGACTACATGGGAGACCCAGAGGAGGATCCTGGCTCCTGGCTCCTGGCTCCTGGCTTCAGGTCTGCTTAGCTCTGGCAGTTGTGGCCACCTGGAAAGTAAACCAGGAGATGGAAGAGCTTGCTCTCTTTCTCTACTCCTCTCTGTAAAGCTGCCTTTCCAATAAAAATAAATAAACCTTTATTGGTTCTGGTGCCATGATATGGTAGTCTAAGCCTCCAGCTGTGGTGCCAGCATCCCATATGGGCATCAGTTCATGTCCCAGCTGCTCTACTTCCAATTTGGCTCTCTTCTTTATGGCCTAGTGAAGCAGCAGAAAATGGCTGAAGTTCTTGGAACCCTGCACCCACATGGGATGCCAGGAGACTGGCTCCTGGCTTCAGATTAGCCCAGCTTCTGCAATTCAATTAAACATTTAAAAATAAATAAAATAAAAAACTCCTTTCCCACAGCACTCATTCTCCCTTCTGCTTTGTATCTGCCTTTTTCAATGGCATTTATCACTTTCTAGCATAATATATGGCTCTCTCTTATTACATTTCCTTAACGTATTATCTCCTCCCTCCCACTCCTGCTAGAATAAAAGCTCCAGGAGTCTGGGGATCTTTGTTTTAAAATTCTCTGATGTACTCGGAACAGTGCCTGATGGTGTATGTGTTCAGAAGATGTTTGTTGAACAAGTAAATAAGCATTTTGTGAACATCAGAGCCTCAGTAAATACGTAGGTAAATTGTTAACTAGGAGATGCCAATAGCAAAGGCTGGTGTAACTGGGACATAGGGTTTAGGTTTATTTTTTTAAAAAGATTTATTTTAATTTTGTCACAAAGCCAGTTATACAGAGAAGAGGAGAGACAGACAGGAAGATCTTCCATCCAATGATTCACTCTCCAAGTGATCACAACCGACAGTGCTGTGTCGATCCAAAGCCAGGAGCTTCTTCCAGGTCTCCCACACGGGTGCAGGTCCGAAGGTTTTGAGCTGTCCTTGACTGCTTTCCCAGGCCACAAGCAGGGAGCTGGATGGGAAGTGGGGCCGCCAGGATTAGAACTGGTGCCCATGTGGGATCCCAGCGCATGCAAGATGAGGACCACCACGCTGGGCCCAGGGTTTAGGTTTTATATGAAGATGCACACATAAGTGTGAAATTATAAAAACATGATCTGAGGCCAGCATTGTGATATGGTAAGTTGAACTAGCACCTGGGATACTAGTATCTCATACAGGCACCAGTTTGATTCCTGAATGCTGTATTTCCAATCCAGCTCCCCGGTAATGTAGCTGGGAAAGCAACAGATGAAAGCCTAAGTACTTTGGTCTCTGCTACCCACGTGGGAGACCTGCATAAACTTCTAAGCTCCTGGTTTCTGCCTAGGCTCAGTGATTGTAGCCATCTGGGTCATGAATCAGAAGGTGAAAGATATTCTCTGTCCTCTCTCTCTCTCTCTCTCTTTCTCTCTCTCCTCTCTTTCTCTCTGTCACTATGCCTTTCAACTAGATATCTAAATAAAACAAAACAAAGGGAAAAAGAGGGGGGGCAACGCATTAACTCCACTGGCTGGTCATTTGCCACAGACATCCCATATGGATACCGATTCATGTCCGAGATGCTCTACTTCCCACCTGCCTGTGGCCTGGGAAAGCAGCAGAGGATGGCTCAATGCCTTGGGACCCTGTACCCACATGGGAGACCCAGAGGAAGCTTTTGCCTCCTGGCTTCAGATCTGCTCGCTCTGGCTGTTGCGGCCATTTGGGGAGTGAACCAGCAGATATCAGAACTTTCTCTGTGTCTCCTTTCTATAAATATGCCTTTCCAATAAATATGGATGTATCTTTAAAAAAAAAGGAAATTATCTTGGATATCCTACCATAAGGATATTCTGTTGTAATTATTTTTGCATAAAAAGAAGAAATGTTTAGAAAGGAAACAAATGAAGAAATATTAGCTTGAACCATATCAAATTGCCAAGGTTCCACCTTTGCCTAGTGTTGCAAACAGCAATGTAATATGGTCTCATGTTCACTGT